GTCCGATTCCCAAGATGTCGTAGTGGGATAAGGGCCAGAAATTAAGCAACAGCCCGAAACACTGTCCACGCAATACGCAGTGAGCCCTGGGTGAGTGGGTGAGTGAGTGTATGGGTGAGTGGGTGAGTGAGTGAGTGGGTGAGTGAGTGTGTGGGTGAGTGGGTGAGTGAGTGGGTGAGTGAGTGTGTGGGTGAGTGAGTGTGTGGGTGAGTGTGTGAGTGTGTGGGTGAGTGAGTGTGTGGGTGAGTGAGTGGGTGAGCCCTGGGTGAGTGGGTAAGTGAGTGGGTGAGTGAGTGAGTGAGTAGGTGAGTGAGTGTGTGGGTGAGTGGGTGAGTGAGTGGGTGAGTGTGTGAGTGAGTGTGTGGGTGAGTGGGTGAGTGAGTGGGTGAGTGAGTGAGTGAGTGGTGAGTGGGTGAGTGAGTGAGTGGTGAGTGGGTGAGTGAGTGGTGAGTGGGTGAGTGAGTGGGTGACTGTGTGAGTGAGTGGGTGAGTGAGTGGGTGAGTGAGTGAGTGGGTGAGTGTGTGGGTGACTGTGTGAGTGAGTGTGTGGGTGAGTGAGTGGGTGAGTGAGTGAGCGTGTGAGTAACAGCACTTGCCCCTGGAGCCCTGCTAGAGGCTACCCGGGGAACCTATGTCTTTGCACTGCGCGTACTGTACCGTACTGTACCCCGCCGTGTGCGGAATAGAGACACAGACAAAGCTCCCCCAGGTAGCCTCTAGCAGGGCTGTAGGGGCAAGTGTTGAGACACAGACAAAGCTCCCCCAGGTAGCCTCTAGCAGGGCTGTAGGGGCAGGTGCTGAGACACAGACAAAGCTCCCCCAGGTAGCCTCTAGCAGGGCTGTAGGGGCAAGTGCTGAGACACAGACAAAGCTCCCCCAGGTAGCCTCTAGCAGGGCTGCAGGGGCAAGTGCTGAGACACAGACAAAGCTCCCCCAGCTAGCCTCTAGCAGGGCTGCAGGGGCAAGTGCTGAGACACAGACAAAGCTCCCCCAGGTAGCCTCTAGCAGGGCTGCAGGGGCAAGTGCTGAGACACAGACAAAGCTCCCCCAGGTAGCCCTAGCAGGGCTGTAGGGGCACATACACACCAACACCCACACACATACACACACACACCCACCCCAACACCCACACACACCAACACCCACACACACCAACACCCACACACATACACACACCAACACCCACACACACCCACACCAACACCCACACACACCAACACACCTACATACACACACCAACACACCCACACATACACTCACACACACCTAGACACCAACACACACACACCTACACCCCAACACACACACACCTAAACAACAACAACCGCCATTCGCCACTAAGTGGAGGTGACGTCACCACGACGCTTGTGCCAGGCTATGTGCACCCTGAGGCCACGTGAAGTGTCGAACGCCCGCTGGCAGGAGGTCACGGGGCAGACCCAGCAGGTGCCACGGGTCGATTGACTGAGATGACTGGCTGATGCACCACCTGTGCCCCCTACTGTGCCAACCTGCTGTGCTTTAGCCACGCGGCGCTCCGCTCGTTGTTGTGAGCGTCGCTCCTCCGCCCTCCGTTGTTGTTGGAGGGCGACTGCCTCCAACTGCCCAGTAGCGTCCTTCACGAGCCTCCTCCACAGAGGCCGATCTTGACACCGCTGGTACCAGTCATCGGCAAGTCCACTCAGCTCCACGTCCTCCTGTACCACATCACTCCATCTCTTCTCTAGCCCGTGCCGCGCCCGTTTAGCCCCCTCAATCCGGCCAAACAAAAGCTGTTTAGGCATGCGGTGGCTGGGCATGCGGGCTACATGACCCAGCCATCGCAGCCTTGCCTGCCGGAGGAGCTCACCGATGGGACCCTGCCCAGATCTTTCAAGGATTTGTGAGCTCCTCACACAATCCAGCCTGGTTAATCCCAGGATGGATCGTAGGCAGGCCAGCCTAAATGTTTCTAACCGGCGAAGATGCTCCATTAGGGGGGGTCCACGTTTCGCAAGCGTAGAGAAGGGAGGGAATGACCGTGGCCGAGAAGACCTGAAGCTTAGTGCGGAGTGACAGACCAGGTAGCTTCCACACAGCGTTACGTAGTAGATGAAAAGATTCGGTCATAAGCACACTGCCCAGGTATGGGAAACTCTCCACTCTCTCCACAACTGCCCCATCACCGATTGGGAATTGTGGGGGTGGAGTGTCCGATGGTACAAAATACCCAGGCAGGTGCTTAGTTTTGGTGGGGCTGATGGTAAGGCCCCACCTCTTAGTGGCAAGCTCCAGTCTCAGCAGCAGCGTCTCCAACTCCTCCTCTGAATGAGCAGCTATTACCAAATCATCGGCATACATAACGTGGTTGACCAATAGGGAGCCATCCCTTGACCGTACCCGGGCATCGATCAGCCTCCCATTATATCTGTACCAAATGGAGATTCCTCCGGTACAGTTATTGAAGGCTTCACGAACTACGTGGTCAAAATAGATGTTAAATAATGTGGGAGCCAGAGGACATCCCTGTCACACCCCAAGGTGTACAGAGAATGGCTCTGACTCCCGGCCACGTAGTTTGACCCAGGCCCGCTCACCATCATGAAGGTCCTTAATGATCGTGAGCAGAGGGTCAGGTACTCCAAAAGCACGAAGAACAGCCCAGGCCTACTGATGGTATCATAGGCCTTGACCAGGTCAATAAAGCAGAGATGTAGGTCTTGTTGGAATTCCCTACACCTCTGCTGTAGCAGACGGACACAAAATATGGCATCTGTGCAGGACCGCCCTTTCCTGAAACCGCATTGGGGCTCCGCAAGCCTCTCCTCAGCGTGCCTGGCAAGGCGATGTTGAATAATCCTTGCCAGGACCTTTCCCGGCACACTGAGGAGTGAGCTGCCCCTGTAGTTGTTACAGTCTGTGCGGTCACCCTTCTTAAAGAGGGGGACCACCAGGGCATCCTTCCAATCCTGCGGAACCCGTCCAGTGGTCCAGACTGTTGTTATGATGTCATAAAGGGCAGTCTGTGCACAAACGCCACCCTCCCTCAGCATTTCGCTTGGAAGATCATCTCTGCCCGCTGCCTTTCCTGGTCTCAGACTCCGGATCACCTTCAGCACTTCCTCAACAGATGGCACCTCAGCCAGCCACTCACAGGCGGTGACTTCTTCCAATATTTGAGGCACCGCAGCCTCAGCAGGGTCATCTTCACTTTGTGCCACGATGTTTTCCAGGCTGAGGGATTTCCCCTCCCCCAGGACCTCACAGAAATGCTCAGCAAATCTGCAAACCTGTTCCTGGGGGTCGGAGATTGGATCACCGTTTTTTCCCCTAATGATGGTAATAGGTGTGGCGCTGCAGGTTACTTCTTTGATGGAGTTAAATAGAGATTTGTGATTACGGGCCACTGAGGCAGACTCCATCTCCTCAGCAACCCGCGACCACCACCCATCCTTGCAGCGCCTCACGGTTCTCCGAACCTCCAAGCGAAGGCTGCGGTAAGCCTTCTCATTCTCTGATGTGGAATTCTGTAGCCGATGACAGTGGGCCTGTCGCTTTTTCTCAACCATCCTGAACACCTCCTCTGTCATACACACATACACCTACACACACCTACATACACACACACATACACCTACATACATACATACACCTACATACACCTACTTACACACACACATATACACACACATACACACACACCTACACACACACACCTACATACACACACCTACATACACACCCACACATACACACACACATACACCTACACACACCTACACACACCTACATACACACCCACACACATACACACACATACACCTACACACATACATACACACACCTACATACACACCCACACACATACACACACACACCTACACACACACACCTACACACACTACACACACACTACACACACACACCTACACACACACACCTATACACACACCTACACACACACCAACACACACACCAACACACACCTACACACACCTACACACACCAACACACACCAACACACACACCTACACACATACCTACACACACCAACACACACCTACACACATATACACACCTACACACACACACCAACACACACCAACACACACCTACACACACCAACACACACCTACACACACCTACACACACCAACACACACCTACACACACCTACACACACACCAACACACCAACACACACCTACACACACACACCTACACACATATACACACCTACACACACACCTACACACACAAACCTACACACACACACCTACACACACCAACACACACCAACACACACCTACACACATATACACACACCTACACACACCAACACACACATACACACACATATACACACCTACACACACACCTACACACACACATATACACACCTACATACAAACACCTACACACCTACACACACACCTACACACACACACCTACACACACACCTACACACACACACCTACACACACACAAACACACACCAACACACACCTACACACACACCTACACACCTACACACACATCTACACACACCAACACACACCAACACACACCTACACACACATATACACACCTACACACACACACCTACACACACACACCTACACACACACATACACACACCTACACACACACCTACACACACACCAACACACACACCAACACACACCTACACACACCTACACACACACCTACACACACACCAACACACACCTACACACATATACACACCTACACACACACACCTACACACACCAACACACACCAACACACACCTACACACACCAACACACACCTACACACACACATATACACACCTACACACACACACCACACACACACCTACACACACACACCTACACACACACACCTACACACACACCTACACACACACCAACACACACCAACACACACCTACACACACACCTACACACACCAACACACACACCTACACACACCTACACACACCTACACACACACCTACACACACCTACACACACACCTACACACACCTACACACACACACACCTACACACACACACCTACACACACACCACACACACCCCAAAACACGACTGGGTGTGGTTTGGGCGAGTCTCAGCTACAGGCGGATTCCTACCGCGCGATGGCGATGTCGTGCCTGTCCAGACACAACAGCGGGTGTGAGTCTCCGTGTGTGAGTGTCTCCGTGTGTGTGTAGTGTGTGTAGTGTGTGTGTGTAGTGTGTGTGTGTAGTGTGTGTAGTGTGTGTGTGTAGTGTGTGTGTAGTGTGTAGTGTGTGTGTATGTAGTGTGTGTGTAGTGTGTGTAGTGTGTGTGTGGTGTGTGTAGTGTGTGTGTAGTGTGTGTGTGTGAGTCTCCGTGTGTGAGTGTCTCCGTGTGTGTGTGTAGTGTGTGTAGTGTGTGTGTAGTGTGTGTGTGTAGTGTGTATAGTGCAGTGTGTGTGTAGTGTGTGTGTAGTGTGTATAGTTCAGTGTGTGTGGTAGTGTGTGTGTAGTGTGTGTGTAGTGTGTGTGGTGTGTGTGTGAGTGTCTCCGTGTGTGTAGTGTGTGTGTGTAGTGTGCGTGTGTAGTGTGTGATTGTCTCCGTGTGTGTAGTGTGTGTAGTGTGTGTGTGTAGTGTGCGTGTGTAGTGTGTGTGTGTAGTGTGTGAGTGTCTCCGTGTGTGTAGTGTGCGTGTGTAGTGTGTGAGTGTCTCCGTGTGTGTGTGTGGTGTGTGTGTGTAGTGTGTGAGTGTCCGTGTGTGAGGGTCTCCGTGTGTGTGTAGTGTGTGTGTCCAACGGGCTTCGCACACACGGACAGAACACGGTGGGTGCGTGAGAGTCTGTGGTGTGTGTGTAGTGTGTGTAGTGTAGTGTGTGTCTGTGTGTTGTTTAGTGTGTGTGTATATGGTGTAGTGTAGTGCGTGTAGTGTGTGTGTAGTGTGTGTAGTGTGTGTGTAGTGTGTGCAGTGTACTGTGTGTCTGTGTGTGTAGTGTGTGTGTAGTGTGTGTGTAGTGTGTGTGTAGTGTGTGTGTAGTGTGTGTGTAGTGTGTATAGTGCAGTGTCTGTGGTGTGTGTGGGGGTGTATGGGTGGGGTGTGGGTGTGTGTATGGGTGGGGTGTAGTGTGTATGGGTGTGTGTGTGTGGGGGTGTGTAGGGTGAGTGTGTGTATATAGTGTGTGTGTGTGGTGTGTGTATTTGGGTGTGTGTGGGTGTGTGTGGGTGTGTGTGTAGTGTGTGTCTAGTGTAGTGTGTGTAGTGTAATGTGTAGTGTGTGTGTGGTGTGTGTAGATGTGTGAGTGTGTGTGTGTAGGTGTGTGAGTGTGTGGGTGTGTGTAGGTGTATACTGTGTGTGTGTAGTGTGTGTGTGTCTATGTGTGTGTGAGTGTGTGTGAGTGTGTGGATGGGGTGTGTGTGCGTGTGTGAGTGTGTGGGTGTGTGTGTGGGTGTGTGTGTGTAGGTGTCTGTGTCTGTGTGTGTGGATGTGTGTATGTGAGTGTGTGTAGGTGTGTCTGTGTGGGTGAGTGTGTGTGTGTCTGTGTGTGTGTAGGTGTGTGTGTGTCTATGTGTGTGTCTGTGTGGGTGAGTGTGTGTGTGTCTGTGTGTGTGTCTGAATGTGTGTGTGTGTGAGTGTGTGTGGATGTCTATATGTGTCTGTGTGTGTGCCTGAATGTGTGTGTGTGGGTGTGTGTGTGTCTATGTGTGTGTCTGTGTAGGTGAGTGTGTGAGTGTGTGTGTGTCTGTGTGTGTGTAGGTGTGTGTGTCTATGTGTGTGTCTGTGTGTGTAGGTGTCTGTGTGTCTGTGTGTGTCTAAGTGTGCGTCTGTGTGTATGTGTCTGTGTGTGAGTGTGTGTGGATGTGTGTGTGTCCGTGTGTGTGTCTGAATGTGTGTGTGTGGGTGTGTGTGTCTGTGTGTGTGTCTGTGTGTGCCTCTGTGAATGTGTGTCTGTGTGTGTGTGAGTGTGTGTGGATGTGTGTGTGTGTCTGTGTGTGTGTCTGAATGTGTGTGTGTGGGTGTGTGTGTCTATGTGTGTGTCTGTGTGTGTGTGAGTGGGTGAGTGTGTGTGTGTAGGTGTGTGTGTCTGTGTGTGTGTCTATGTGTGTGTGTCTGAATGTGTGTGTAGGTGTGTGTGTCTGTGTGTGTGTGAGTGGGTGAGTGTGTGTCTATGTGTGTGTAGGTGTGTGTCTGAATGTGTGTGTAGGTGTGTGTGTGTCTGTGTGTGTAGGTGTGTGTCTGAATGTGTGTGTAGGTGTGTGTGTCTGTGTGTGTGAGTGGGTGGGTGAGTGTGTCTATGTGTGTGTGTCTGTGTGTGTAGGTGTGTGTCTGAATGTGTGTGTAGGTGTGTGTGTGTCTGTGTGTGTGTGAGTGGGTGAGTGTGTGTGTGTCTGTGTGTGTGTAGGTGTGTGTCTGAATGTGTGTGTAGGTGTGTGTGTCTGTGTGTGTGTGTGAGTGGGTGAGTGTGTGTGTGTCTGTGTGTGTGTAGGTGTGTGTCTGAATGTGTGTGTCTATGTGTGTGTCTGTGTGTGTGTGAGTGGGTGGGTGAGTGTGTGTCTGTGTGTGTGTGTGTATATGTGTGTGTGTGTCTGTGTGTGTCTATGTGTGTGTCTGAATGTGTGTGTGTAGGTGTGTGTGTCTGTGTGTGTGTGAGTGGGTGAGTGTGTGTGTGTCTGTGTGTGTGTAGGTGCGTGTCTGAATGTGTGTGTAGGTGTGTGTGTGTCTGTGTGTGTAGGTGTGTGTCTGAATGTGTGTGTAGGTGTCTATGTGTGTGTGTGTCTGTGTGTGTAGGTGTGTGTGTGTCTGAATGTGTGTGTAGGTGTGTGTCTGAATGTGTGTGTCTGTGTGTCTGTGTGTGTAGGTGTGTGTCTGAATGTGTGTGTAGGTGTGTGTGTCTGTGTGTGTGTGAGTGGTGAGTGTGTGTCTATGTGTGTGTAGGTGTGTGTCTGAATGTGTGTGTAGGTGTGTGTGTGTCTGTGTGTGTGAGTGGTGAGTGTGTGTGTGTGTCTGTGTGTGTGTAGGTGTGTGTCTGAATGTGTGTGTAGGTGTGTGTGTGTCTGAATGTGTGTGTAGGTGTGTGTGTCTGTGTGTGTGTGAGTGGGTGGGGTCTCAGTGTGAATATTGCTTCGTGCCCACCACTCCCCACTGCAGTGCGACTTGGAGAGCGGTAGTAGGAGACGCAGAGGAAGACAACGAGCTGGTGAATAAACTCACTCACTCATACACTCACTAATACACTCACTAATACACTCACTCACTAATACACTCACTAATACACTCACTAATACACTCACTAATACACTCACTCATACACTCACTAATACACTCACTAATACACTCACTAATACACTCACTCATACACTCACTCACTCATACACTAACTCATACACTCACTCATACACTCACTCACTCATACACTCACTAATACACTCACTCATACACTCACTCATACACTCACTAATACACTCACTAATGCACTCACTCATACACTCACTAATACACTCACTCATACACTCACTCACTCATACACTCACTCATACACTCACTCATACACTCACTAATACACTCACTCATACACTCAATCATACACTCACTAATACACTCACTAATACACTCACTCACTCATACACTCACTCATACACTCACTAATACACTCACTAATACACTCACTCATACACTCACTCATACACTCACTCACTCATACACTCACTCATACACTCACTAATACACTCACTCATACACTCACTCACTAATACACTCACTCATACACTCACTCACTCACTCATACACTCACTAATACACTCACTAATACACTCACTAATACACTCACTCATACACTCACTAATACACTCACTCATACACTCACTCATTCACTCACTCATACACTCACTCACTCATACACTCACTCACTCATACACTCACTAATACACTCACTCATACACTCACTCATACACTCACTCATACACTCATACACTCACTCATACACTCACTCATACACTCACTCATACACTCACTAATACACTCACTAATACACTCACTCACTAATACACTCACTCATACACTCACTAATACACTCACTCATACACTCACTCACTCATACACTCACTCACTCATACACTAACTCATACACTCACTAATACACTCACTAATACACTCACTAATACACTCACTAATACACTCACTCATTCATACACTCACTAATACACTCACTCATACACTCACTAATACACTCACTCACTCATACACTCACTCATACACTCACTCATACACTCACTAATACACTCACTAATACACTCACTAATACACTCACTCACTCATACACTCACTCACTCATACACTCACTAATACACTCACTCATACACTCACTCATACACTCACTCACTCATACACTCACTAATACACTCACTCATACACTCACTAATACACTCACTAATACACTCACTCATACACTCACTAATACACTCACACATACACTCACTAATACACTCACTAATACACTCACTCACTCATACACTCACTCATACACTCACTCACTCACCCACTCATACACTCACTAATACACTCACTAATACACTCACTAATACACTCACTCATACACTCACTCATACACTCACTCATACACTCACTCATACACTCACTCACTCATACACTCACTTATACACTCACTAATACACTCACTCATACACTCACTAATACACTCACTCATACACTCACTCATACACTCACTAATACACTCACTCATACACTCACTCACTCATACACTCACTAATACACTCACTCATACACTCACTCATACACTCACTAATACACTCACTCATACACTCACTCATACACTCACTCATACACTCACTCATACACTCACTCATACACTCACTAATACACTCACTAATACACTCACTCACTAATACACTCACTCACTCATACACTCACTCACTCATACACTCACTCATACACTCACTCATACACTCACTCATACACTCACTCACTCATACACTCACTCACTCATACACTCACTCACTCATACACTCACTCATACACTCACTAATACACTCACTCATACACTCACTAATACACTCACTAATACACTCACTCATACACTCACTAATACACTCACTCACTCACACACTCACTAATACACTCACTAATACACTCACTCACTCATACACTCACTAATACACTCACTCATACACTCACTAATACACTCACTAATACACTCACTCACTCATACACTCACTAATACACTCACTCATACACTCACTAATACACTCACTCATACACTCACTAATACACTCACTAATACACTCACTCATACACTCACTAATACACTCACTCACTCACACACTCACTAATACACTCACTCATACACTCACTCACACATACACTCACTCATACACTCATACACTCACTCATACACTCACTAATACACTCACTCATACACTCACTCACTAATACACTCACTAATACACTCACACACTCACTCATACACTCACTCACTCACTAATACACTCACTCATACACTCACTAATACACTCACTCATACACTCACTAATACACTCACTAATACACTCACTCATACACTCACTCACTAATACACTCACTCAATAATACACTCACTAATACACTCACTAATACACTCACTAATACACTCACACACACACTCACTCATATACTCACTCATACACTCACTCACTCATACACTCACTCACTCATACACTCACTCATACACTCACTCACTCATACACTCACTCACTCATATACTCACTCACTCATACACTCACTCATACACTCACTCACTCATACACTCACTAATACACTCACACACTCACTAATACACTCACACACTCACTAATACACTCACTAATACACTCACACACTCACTAATACACTCACTCACTAATACACTCACTAATACACTCACTCATACACTCACTCGCTCATACACTCACTCATACACTCACTCATACACTCATTCACTCATACACTCACTCATACACTCACTCACTCATACACTCACTCATACACTCACTCATACACTCACTCACACACTCACTAATACACTCACTAATACACTCACACACTAATACACTCACTAATACACTCACTCATACACTCACTCATACACTCACTCACTAATACACTCACTCACTCATACAGTCACTCACTAATACACTCACTAATACACTCACTAATACACTCACTAATACACTCACTCACTAATATACTCACTCACTAATACACTCACTAATACACTCACTAATACACTCACTCATATACTCACTCATACACTCACTCACTCATACACTCACTCACTCATACACTCACTCATACACTCACTCACTCATACACTCACTCACTCATATACTCACTCACTCATACACTCACTCATACACTCACTCACTCATACACTCACTAATACACTCACACACTCACTAATACACTCACACACTCACTAATACACTCACTAATACACTCACACACTCACTAATACAATCACTCATACATTCACTCACTCACTCATACACTCACTCATACACTCACTCACAGACAAAGCTCCCCCAGGTAGCCTCTAGCAGGGCTGCAGGGGCAAGTGCTGAGACACAGACAAAGCTCCCCCAGGTAGCCTCTAGCAGGGCTGTAGGGGCAAGTGCTGAGAGAGACAAAGCTCCCCCAGGTAGCCTCTAGCAGGGCTGTAGGGGCAAGTGCTGAGACACAGACAAAGCTCCCCCAGGTAGCCTCTAGCAGGGCTGCAGGGGCAAGTGTTGAGACACAGACAAAGCTCCCCCAGGTAGGCTCTGGCAGGGCTGTATGGGCAAGTGCTGAGACACAGACAAAGCTCCCCCAGGTAGCCTCTAGCAGGGCTGTAGGGGCAAGTGCTGAGACACAGACAAAGCTCCCCCAGGTAGCCTCTAGCAGGGCTGTAGGGGCAAGTGCTGAGATACAGACAAAGCTCCCCCAGGTAGCCTCTAGCAGGGCTTCAGGGGCAAGTGCTGAGACACAGACAAATCTCCCCAGGTAGCCTCTAGCAGGGCTGTAGGGGCAAGTGCTGAGACAGACAAAGCTCCCCCAGGTAGCTTCTAGCAGGGTTGTAGGGGCAAGTGCTGAGACACAGACACAGCTCCCCCAGGTAGCCTCTAGCAGGGCTGTAGAGGCAAGTGCTGAGACAGACAAAGCTCCCCCAGGTAGCCTCTAGCAGGGCTGTAAGAGGCAAGTGCTGAGACACAGACAAAGCTCTCCCAGGTAGCCTCTAGCAGGGCTGTAGGGGCAAGTGCTGAGACACAGACAAAGCTCTCCCAGGTAGCCTCTAGCAGGGCTGTAGGGGCAAGTGCTGAGACACAGACAAAGCTTCCCCAGGTAGCCTCTAGCAGGGCTGTAGGGGCAAGTGCTGAGACACAGACAAAGCTCCCTAGGTAGCCTATAGCAGGGCTGTAGGGGCAAGTGCTGAGACACTGACAAAGCTCCCCCAGGTAGCCTCTAGCAGGGCTGTAGGGCAGTGCTGAGACACAGACAAAGCTCCCCCAGGTAGCCTCTAGCAGGGCTGTAGGGGCAAGTGCTGTGTTAGTAGCGAGTAGCAGCAGCAGCAGCGTCTATGAAGGCTACCGGCACTGTGGCTACACACAGAGGGGGTGGGTGGCCAGCACCACCACCACTACCACCACTACCACCACTACACCACCACTACACCACCACCACCACTACCACCACTACTACCACCACCACCACTACACCACCACCACTACACCACCACTACTACACCACTACACCACCACCACTACACCACCACCACCACCACTACACCACCACTACAACACTACCCCACTACCACAACTACCACCACTACCACCACCACCACTACACCACCACTACCACCACTACCACTACCCCACTACCACCACCACTACACCACCAACACCACCACTACACCACCACCACTACACCACTACCACTGACACCAGGTCACTGATTTGAGGCTGAGTTGACCTAGGGGAGGCCCAAGACACACCCTCTCACACTGTCTCACACGCCCGTGTTACTTTGACGTCTGAGTGATATCATAATTATACCGTGGGGTTGGTCAGTGTGTGGGTGAGAGGGTGGGTGAGTGAGTGAGTGGGTGAGTGGGTGAGTGAGTGTGTGGGTGAGTGAGTGAGTGTGTGGATGAGTGAGTGGGTGGGTGAGTGAGTGAGTGGGTGGGTGAGTGAG